TACTCTGGGCGATATTTTCCTCGAGAACCTCGCACGGAGATACTAGCCAATTTGCTAAGACAAGAACGTAGCGTTGAAAGCATTGTTCGTTCTCGAACTTGGGGTTTGGTTCTAGAGCGCTGCGGCGATGGCTTCCAAGACGCGGAAGAGGCATTGAACAATTGGAGAACAGGAAGGGAGCGCCTCAATACCTGATTTGAGGCGCATCGAATGCTCTACACCAATACTATATAGATATGTCGCCACAACGCTGAATGTGAGTCCATTCAGTACGTGTGTTGGCTGCAAATGTAACCTACCCTCACCACTACCATGTAATAAAATACAAAACTGTAAGCAATGAACTCCTTACTGTCGTCTATATATACATTTGAATAATAGGTATGTTTTAAAGGAGGACATCGAGGGACCTACATACGTGGGTACATATACATATACTACTGTTCACATATTAGGTAAAATGCATCTTGAGAATACACCCGCTTAAATGCATACTCAGCTCGGGTGATTGTCGGCGGCGTAGCGCAAGCTGTAAATTTTCATAACCAGCACACCCAAAACGACATCCCACTTCGTTGCTGCCGCCGCTAAACTATCGCAAAGCTCCAAGCTTCAATATTCCATTCACCTCCTACCCCAGATTGGGCACAGATTCCACGTCGGTGTTGATTGCAGGCTAGTGTAAGAAGTTTCAATTAAACAATTGAACTTCAAAATAGTATTACTATTCCAGGTCAGCACGAGTTATTACGTAACTCCACCAGCTATATTCTTGCCCAAGAACGAATTAGCTCACTGTGCCCAGTGAAGTCCCACGTACAAACAACATCCTACACTCTAGAACACCACCTTCGATAACGCCGACATCCTTTAGATTTTTATCTCGACGGTTGGGGGAGCCGCCCATAAACGCCAATCATGCCTCAACCTCTCAGTTCGAAAGAGAACTCTCTCTTTCGACAAGTCATTCGCAACTATGAAGATAAACAGTACAAGAGAGGGCTGAAGGCAGCGGAGCAAATCCTCAAGAAAAATCCTAAACATGGCGACACGATGGCTATGAAGGCTTTGATTATCAACCAACAAGGGAAGACAGAGGAGGCGTTTGCGCTAGGAAAGGAGGCCTTACAAGCCGATATGAAGTCGCACATATGTTGGCATGTCTACGGCTTGCTATACAGGCACCAAAAGAACTTCGAGGAGGCAATTAAAGCGTATAAATTCGCTCTGAGACTAGAGCCCGAATCTCACCAGATCCAGAGAGATCTTGCCTTCCTCCAAATTCAGATGCGCGACTACCAAGGCTACATACAAAGTAGAACTGCTATGCTCCAGGCCAGGCCTCAGCTAAGACAGAACTGGACAGCCCTCGCAGTTGCGCACCACCTTGCTGGGAATCTTGCCCAAGCCGAGAAGGTGCTGACCACATACGAAGATTCTTTGAAAGTACCTCCATCCAAGACCGACTACGAGAACTCGGAGGCTGTTATGTATAAAAACACCATAATTGCCGAGATGCAAGACTACCAGCGAGCTCTAGATCATCTGGAGTCTATTGCTAAGACCAATCTTGATCGCCTAGCTGTCTTGGAGTATCGCGCGGAATATCTGTCAAAGCTGGACAGGAAGGAAGAGGCAGCCACCGCCTACCGTGCCCTCCTCGACCGTAATCCTGAGCACCCTGACTACTATACTAAACTCATTAACTCGTTAGATATTAGCGCCGATGATCATGCAGCCCAAAAGGCTGTTTATGACGAATATGCCGAAAAGAACCCCCGTTGCGACGCTGCTAGACGGCTACCCCTAGACTTCCTTGTCGGTGAGTCACGTAGAGCTCATCTTCCGCCTTGACAAACAATTTCTCATATTATTTCTAGGCGATAGTTTCCGGGAAGCAGCCCAGAGCTACTTAGCTTTGATGTTAGATAAGGGGGTCCCTTCAACCTTCGCAAATCTCAAACATCTCTACACCGATTCTTTCAAGCGAGACACGCTTGGATCCTTGGCACATGAGTATCTAGACTCGAAACGAGCATCTAGTGAGAATACGAATGGTGACGCACTAAAGGGGGAACCGGCTGCATTGTACTATCTCGCGCAACATTACAATTACCACTTAAGTCGTGATCTCTCGAGGGCCATGGAATACGTGAATAAAGGAATCGAGTTATTACCTGAAAATGTCGAATTTCACATGACCAAGGCTAGAATATGGAAGCACTATGGCAATAGCCAAAAGGCTTCAGAAACCATGGATCAAGCTCGCAAACTCGATCTCAAAGACCGATATATCAACACGAAAGCGGCGAAATACCAGCTACGAAATAACGAGAACGTAGCCGCTTTGAATACTATGGGCCTCTTCACTAGGAATGAAGCACCAGGTGGTCCTTTAAGCGACTTGCTTGACATGCAAAGTGTGTGGTACCTCACAGAAGATGGAGAAGCGTGGGTCCGCTCGGGGAACATAGGATTAGCCCTGAAGCGATTCCATGCTGTCTACAACATATTCGAGGTATGGCAGGAGGATCAATTCGACTTTCACAGCTTTTCATTACGAAAAGGGCAAATCCGCGCTTATGTAGACATGATCAGGTGGGAGGACCGCATCCGTGAGCATCCCTTCTACACGCGTGCCGCACTTGGAGCTATCGCGATTTATGTGAGCTTGTACGATAGCAGCAAGGCACCTAACGGCGTGGATGGATCTGCGGATACCAACGGGGATGAGGCTGCGGAAAGAAAGAAGGCTGCCAAGAAGGCCAAGAAGGAGGCACAAAAAGCGGAGCGTGAAGCTGCAGAGAGGGCGGCTAAGCAAGACCCTAACAAGTCGAAGGGTGCTTCATCTGAGCCTGTTAAGAAGGATGATGACCCCAATGGATTGAAACTTGCTCAAACACCCGAACCCCTGACCGAAGCTACGAAGTTCCTCGCACCTATTCTTCAATTCAGTCCAAAGTATATCGATGGGCAAATTGCCGGCTTCGAGGTCTTCATAAGGAGAGGTAATGCAACAGTATGTCTTCCGTATATATTCCATCCGCTAACATTGATTAGAAAAATATCTCCTTGCTCTTCGGTCGTTGAATGCCGCTTTGGCCATCGATCCGGAGCATCCCATGGTCCACGAGCAAGTCATCAGATTCCGCCAGGCTCTCAACTCGAAGCTTGAATCCTTACCTCCGAAGGTTGCCGAGGTTCTAAAGTCCGAATTTACTGCCGTGGATGCTTCGACAGACTTGAAGAAGTTCAACGCCGATTTCAAAGAGAAGCATAAAGACAGCCCATCGCACGTCATATCCGCTATCCAGGCAGAAAAAATACTAGGAGGAGACAAGAAGAAGGCAGAGAAGGATCTTGCAGGAGTACTTAACCTGAAAGGTATCCAGCATGACCAAGCAATAGAGGTTCTAGCACTCTTAAAGTCTTGGCGCAGCAGCGAAGCTGATGCTTTTAAGGAGGCGGCCCACGAGAAGTGGCCAGAGGTCACTGCATTTGCATGATAGGGTTTAGAGAGGGGTTACACTAGGCTACAGACCTATAAGTTTTACGCATAGCTCTACATGAAGAACGCTTGGAGGCAGCCGTGCATTGCATTTCATTCCCGGTGGCGACAAAGAGGTTGTGAGTAAAGCTTACATAGTTCCCATTGCCTTTGAATTGGAGTCCGCCTGGGGTCTGGCTGGCTTCTGTGGTTTGAGAACCGGAGGGGAAAAAGAAAAGCAGTAGACGGCGGATTTGAGCTGTATTACACAGTAGTAGCTTAGGGAAGTTCCTCAAAAAGGAGCTCCGAAACACAGAAGAGAAGAAAAGAAAAGAAAAGAAAAGAAAAGTGTGCAACCAAGAATCTCGCTATTATTTGCTTAGTGGTCGTGTCGTCTATATCATTGCTACCTGGTCCAAACTTGAGGATAAGAGGCCCCTAACCACAGGTATAAAATCAATTATTGTCAAGCGCACGGCTTAATTGCACCTTCGTGGACTCTGACTAGTAAATAGGTTGTCTTTTAACGCGGTAAGGGGCACGTCTGATGTGGAAATTGACGAATCTTATGACCCTCTCCCTCTCCCGGACTAAGTCGCATTGCTGGGGCGTCAAACGCTGGGTGCGAACCCGACTATTTTCCCAAGACAGCTGGTAGAAGGTCGTGGTAAATCCGACCGTAGCGGGAACCGGATTCTCGAAGTCAACGTAGACACAACCTTTCCATTCGTAATCTACTGCGTCTATCTCCGGCGAGTCCAAGAATCGCACATGTAGTTTTGTCGGGTATGCTTCGAGCGCGACGGCGCGACTCTGTCGGGACACCGTGAGGAAGGAGGATATTTGGTCCCGGGACAGTATTAGGCTACCGGATGAATCCTCGAGGAGGAAGCAATGACTCTTTTTTTCCTCACGTATAGCCTCGTGCCAGATTTGCAAGCGTAGTTCTGGTGGCAGGTTGGAGAAGAGCGTAAATGATGATAGTCTAGACATTGTTGCTTTGGCAATGTTGTAGTCATAACTATGTAGTGGCGTAGAAATCTACGAAGGCTTGAGGAGACTGTTTACCTGATGAAGGTGTTGAAGTATACTAGAGAGTCGTAGGGAGTGGGTTTTTATAGGTCAACATGGCCGAGTGTGTAAGGGCACAGGCAGATGCGCCTGAGCTCTCTGCTCTGTATATGCCTTGGATAGCATAAGCTTGTCGATACGGGCCCGGGAAGAAGGGGTATAGGGGTACTACAGGAAGCAACTTGTTTTATGCCTCTAAGATATTTCTGAGCCTAAGGTATTTACGACGTTGCATTTCGAATGGGAACGACCTACCAATACATTTCAGGCAATCGCTTACCTCACCATGACATCTTAAAGTATAACATCGCAATTATTAGTTCACATAAATAATTCATGTACTGTTGTTACGACTCGCTGTAATCAGAAGATCAGATACACGATAAGTCAGGGCCCACCTGATAATCATCCTTCCTTTTGCCGTGATGCACCTTGAGGATACCCAGGAAAAAAAATTTATTAGTTTTTCCTCCGCGAGGAAGGATAGAAGAAATAATAGCATGTCCTTTCGGTATGCAATGATTCCTGCTGCAGCCCTTGCCTATTCGTAAAAGTTAACCCGATATATGGGAGAATACCTCATACAATCATGGTGACCTGAGAGCTACTCGATGCATTCTCTCCACCATCTCATGGATCCTCGAACCTGCTCTCTCGCAGAACTGATCGTCGCCTACATTTTTGTACGTGCACCGACAGGGCCGACGATGCTCAAGGGAAGGATCAACCAAGATATTCTTCCTCATAATTTCCTCCTTATCCTCCTCGCTAGAAACATCCTCAACGTTCTCACTCCATACCAGCTCTTTCATTCGGTACTTAATGGGCAATGGATGCCCAGGCCGTCGTTGAAAGAGGTGCTGTAGCAAGTCGCCCACTCGTGACTTTGTCTTGTGTCCCCATGGATAGTAGAAGTACTGTTTGACACTTGGGAACAGAGTCTTAGACCAGAAGGAACTTGCACAGTCCTTCGAGTAGTGCCTTGGTTGGCAGGTACAGTAATCAACAGAGTTATAAGGGGGGCAGAAGCCGTCAATACACACCGGAATAACCCTTTCTATACGAGAACGAAACTTTAGTACTTCTGATGCGTAGTGTCTCCCTGTGCTGGGAAAGTTCCCGAAGTTATGTTCGAACCCACTACAATAGAACGTGTGCTGAATATCGTCTTGGCAACCATTACACATTGCCGGCACCAAGCACCATTCGAACGCCCTTGGTTGAAGATCGAGGCCTGCAATGAAGATATCGTGCTGAGAACTAAGGTACAAACGCTTCTTGCTTTTGGGAGACTCGTTGATCTCGTTATAGTCAAAGAAGCCAATGAAGCTGCTTAAAATTGGGTGACGGATGCTTGGCAAGTCGCACACAACTAGTTTCATGTCGAAGAACCGTACGGCAAAGTATCGGCTCTCCTTATTCACAGTCAACATTGGTGATACGAGGGACTTGAAGGGAATAACTTTCTGGGTTGAATGATCAATTATCACTAGACGTTCAGATGATTCCTCTCGTAAGGCCTCTTCCCAGATGAGAAATCGTATCTCTGCAGGGAATTTGTTGAACGGGAATGACGCTACGGGTGATCGTGACCCATCCGATTCTAGATATCTGGATATGGTCATGGTGGCGAGTGCCTGAGTGATAGAGGATAGGAGCCTAGGCCAGATGAGTCTGAGCAAGGCTGGTCTGGAGCAGTAACGTGCCCCGGTTGGTGGGTAGCAGTCGTTTCTCAGGGGAGACTTCAGAGACTCCGCATCTTTATACCTACAGAAACATGCGCATTTGTGGCAATATGAGGACCTATTGTATAACACCGCAGAATCAAGATTGAGAGAATAGTTGTTAGATTGAAAATTCTGTTGTCTGTTCCAGACAACAGATACAAACGAATATAATTCTACAAACGGACTCTCTGGTGGTGTCACTCACATAACACCACCAGAGAGGATAGTCACATGAATGTCACGTGACTACCTGACACTTCTCGAGTTGTGCAAATGCAAAAATAAGAAGTGAAGGGATTGTCTTTAAATGTCAAGGCTCATCATGGATATGTCAACTTCGAATTGAACACTTCTTCTCCTTTTATCCTCCTCTACTGCGATAACCTCGCCCGCGTGATAATTAATCATTCATCTACAACATCCTCGTCCCCAAACTCCTCGTCATCTTCACCAATCTCGGCATCCTGATACTGCTGATACTCACTAATCAAATCATTCATATTAGACTGGGCCTCAGTGAACTCCATCTCGTCCATACCCTCACCCGTATACCAGTGCAAAAACGCCTTGCGCTGGAACATGACGGCGAACTGGTCGCCGACGCGGCGCAGGATCTCCTGCAGCGCGGTGGAGTTACCGACGAATGTGCCCGACATCTCGTGTCCCCCTGGCGCCGGCTCCGAGCACATGGCCGTCTGGATATTGTTCGGGATCCAGTCAACGAAGTAGGCCGAGTTGCGTCTCTGGACGGTGGCGATCTGGTCTTCTATTTCTTTCATAGAGACTTTACCTCGACTATTGTTGTCTTTAGCAAATGCGCCTTTTAACTAATTCTACTGTAGGATAATATATGATAGAGATGACTCACAATATAGCCGAGCAAGTCAAAAACCGGCCATTGCGAAAATCAGCAGCCGCCATCATATTCTTCGAGTCAAACATCTGTTGTGTCAGCGTCTGGACTGTCAGATGGCGGAACGCACCCGCGCCTGGTTGAAGACTCGTTAGCGGCGCGTAGCCGACCATGAAGAAGTGTAATCGGGGAAACGGGACCATGTTGACGGCAAGCTTGCGCAAGTCAGAGTTCAACTGGCCCGGAAACCGCAGTGAGGTCGAGATGCCCGACATGACGGTCGACACGAGGTGGTTCAGGTCCCCGTATGAGGGCGTCGACAGCTTGAGCGAGCGCTGGCAAATATCGTAGAGGGCCTCGTTGTCGATGCAGAAGGTCTCGTCGGCGTTTTCGACAAGTTGGTGGAAGGAGAGAGTTGCGTTGTACGGCTCTACGACTGTGTCGGAGACCTAGATCATACCGTCAGCGCTGTAAGAGGTGACACGACCCGATGATCGAGTTCCACTCGCCTTCGGAGAGGGGATCACAGAATACGTCGCCATGATCCTGTCAGGAAACTCCTCCCGGATCTTGGACATCAGGAGGGTACCCATTCCCGACCCAGTGCCGCCGCCAAGGGAATGAGTGATCTGAAAGCCTTGCAGGCACTCGCACCCTTCCGCTTCGCGTCTGACCACTTCCAATACTTGGTCAACGAGCTCAGCGCCTTCGGTGTAATGGCCCTTTGCCCAGTTGTTCCCCGCGCCTGATTGACCATAGACCAGGTTATCGGGGCGGAACATGTTACTAAACTGGCCGCTGCGAAGGGCGTCCATTGTTCCGGGCTCTAGATCTACGTGGACAGCCCTGGGAACGTATTTCTTGTTCGCGGCCTGCTCAGTACGTCAGTCTATTGTACTCAGCACAAGATAATATTGGCGTCTTACCTCGTTGAAGTAGACTCCGATGCGGTCTAGCTGCAAACTAGATGAGCCTTGATAGTTGCCATTCTGATCGAGGCCGTGCTCGCGCGACACCGACTCCCTTTCCCCTCCGCTATTAGCAGAAAGATCGACTGGAGGGCCACTTCACTCACGTACCAGAAGGAGGCTCCGATCTGATTGCCCTTTTGGTGAGCGGATTAGTTAGATGGCATCGATGGTGGGAGGCGATGATGGCAATCACGACATACGCATTGGCCAGTTGCAATGTGCACCTGGGAGGCGGTCAGTACCGAGAGTTTCATGACCCTCTGAGCACGCATCAGGCCCTAGGATCCTAGTGGTGTCAACCTTCCAGAGTGAAGGGGACGTACAATCTCACGCATTTTTGCTGTCATTAGCTTTTCGGGACGGTTTGGTATATACAGCGCCGTTGGTAGTTGCTTAGGGAGTAAATGTCAAGCAAGTCGGGCTTATAGAAAGAAGAGCTCAACCCGTTCTTCGACGTGGTCACAATGGGATTTCAGATAGGCTCTCGTAAGATTTCTGCACGTGAAAAAGGCCATACACTACTGTTGCATACAGGGGCAGGCGTAGACAAACCATGATGCTGACCGTTGGCCAGAAAATGGATGCACACAGAGAGGTGACAACGGCACCAACGGCAAGCTTGCGTTCACTGTTCTTGGCTAGTGCCTGTGACGAATCTGACAGCGAGTCACAAGTTCCTTCTGACTTGCAGCCTGTTGGGAACATCTTGCATGAACGTCCACAGCTCCGCACAGGGAAATCGGTACATACAAGTATTTCGAGAATGCTGCTGGATGGGTTATAAGCCAGATACTACACCGGTTGCATATCTGAATTCCCGCCACTCCGCAATTACCTCTAGCGAGACGAAGCGAGCGGCACGGTGTGACTACCTGGCCTACCGATTGCATCGACCCCATGGGCCACAGTTGGCATGCGACAGTATGTATTGCATGCTCGGCTGCTCGTATTGGATACCGAGACAGAGTCACTCCTTTCATGTATTTAAGTCATCACGACAGACCTTCCACTCATTAGCAGTTAGAATCTTCAATCCAGTTTCAATCCATAATAGAACTCTAAACTTCTGCACATAATCTAACAGCTCTCGAGGCACGGCTCGAGACAAGGGCTGATATTCAGGGCTTGGAATCACTTCAATTTCAATAATCCTCAATGGGGTCTCAAGGGCCTTGGTGATCCTTCTGAAGATCCAATCTGATCAGGATCATCACCCCTTTTTATGCTTGTGTATGTTGGGAATGGTGTGTGACAGTACAAGCCGGAGGCCTTGCATGAGTGGCTGCCTGCCGCTATATGTAAACCGCCCTGACTTCCCATCTCCCACTTTTTGTTTCATACATCGTTGTAACAATCGTCCACATCATGTCGTTTAATATACAAGATAATTCCCGTCTCTTCTCGTTACCCAAAGAGGTTCGCGATTGCATTTATAGCTTTTATCTTTTCCCCAGTCACGATGACTTTGTGGAGACACTGCGTCCGCACCAACGGTTCCTTAATAGCGAAGCTTACTCCCAACCACTGCCCGCCTTGATGCACACATGCAAACGGGTCTATCAAGACATGTCGCCTCTTGTTCATGACCAAGCTATCATGCGAGTCGAGATGCATGGCTCCCTCGAGCGTCGTATCAGCTTTGCAGTATACGGCACACTTCGCTTCGAGCGCTTGCGCAAGTTCTGCCTTCTAATTCCCCTGGAGCATCCTAACTGGAATCGGTGGCTCTACTTCTTCGCTGACGTCCTTTCTCATTGCACAAATCTCCGCACTTTGGTCATCGACTGGAGTCCTCGCCCGGTGCCATCTCATAACTGGGCTGGTCGGGTAAACCAGAAAAAGGAAGACGAATTCTTACGGGCGGTCCTGGCTCTCGAGGCGCTGCACACTGTCAAGATCCATGGGAACGCGCCCTACAGATGGGTGGCCCAGCTTCATGAGTCCAAGAGGCGCGTGATACAAGATCCATGTCGCTGGTGGCGAGAACCGGGGTTGGACTTCTGAGAGCCTCTATGCAGCCAACTGCATCATGCTCGTCAGTCACACTTGCGCTAAGGCTTGGTTGTTGGTTTGAGCAGAAACTATCGCATGCGTCTTTCGTGAACTCGTACCGATTTCTACGACTACCAGCAAAGGAAGTGAATTTCTCGGGTCCCCAACAGCTACTCGTCTGAGAGGGTGCTTCATACAATGTAGTATGCCTCTGGTATAGTGGTGTATAAAGAAAACATGTACTCTACCGCAAGTTCGTTTATCCCAAATCTTTACTTGTTTGGGAGGACTCCATTTCTGGATGCTAGAACTTCCAGTCCTTGTGGCTTCCATACCAACACTTCAACATTTGTATGCAAATGGCACATAAAGAGTCATCACTATGTTGCTGGGTCCATAGTCAAACTGTTAGAAACCCATTAACTCTATATTCCAACGAATGTATAATGCAACATATGGCAAAAAGGGGGAGCTCTATATCAACAACTAGAACAATAAAAACAAATCAACCCAAACTGTTATTGTGCGTTGGCTTTACCAATTTTGCGTCTTTCCTTTCATGCAATGAAGCTAAAGATACAATATAAGTAGTGAAATTGAACGTAGACGTGTAAGAAGACTGTTTCATGCTCTGATGGACAACATCCCGAGCCCCCATAAGGAGCCATAGAGTCCTCAGAGTAGTATATTAATCTACCCATCCTTAGGTATGTTCAACACTTAATATATGATGGACGGATGATTTTGATAGACATGGTATATTGCATTATGAAAACTTTGCCTAAGCCGCCATGGCATTTATAGGGATTCGTTGAGTGTACTTAATTAAGTATTAGGATCATAATCTTCTGGTATATTGAATATGCCTTTGTTGAATGCCGTGTTCCTATGCGTTGCCATAGAATTCTTGTTTCCCTGTGAAATATTAACGGTTGGGGTCTGAAAGAAATGCTACCATTGGTATCCGTATGGATGCATAGGAGTTGAATAACATAAAGGACTGACATGATATTGTAACGTGGTTGTTATCAAAAAGCCCATCAATCATTCCAAGAAAATAGCCTGCTTGGAAATTAGGGGTTAGAGGCTTGTCGCAAGCGCCGTACCCATATAATGTCTACTAACGTCGGCGTTAACATCTACCCCACCTCCCACTACTCAATTGAGTTGGGCTGCCTGGCGAAATGGTATCGCGTCACTTTCCGGTTTAAGGAA